CCGCTGGTGGCCACATCTCATTTCGGGGGGCCTCAGGGAGTCAAGGGTCCGGCCACGGAGGGCAGGGGGTGCGGCACAGGACCCTTCCACATGCACCCGCGCCCTCGCCAGCCAGTCATGGAAGGGGCGCAGAAGGCAGGAGCAGAGCAGGGGGTTCCCAGCCAGGCTGACCCTCGCCAGCCCCCCGGCCCCGGCCAGGGGTGGCAGCCCCTGCAGCTGGTTTTTGCGGAGGTCCAGCGTGCGCAGCTCAGGGCTGTGGGCGAAGGCATCGGGTGCCACGTCCTGGAGGGAGGCGTGGTCCAGGAAGAGGTGCTTCAGAGAGGCCATGGCCAGGGCCTCCTCAGCCACGTAGGTGATGGGGTTGTGGCCCAGTTCCAGCCGAGTGGCCCCATCCAGCCTGGCCAAGGCCTCGCCAGGCAGTGCCTGCAGCTCATTGTGGTCCAGGCTCAGCCTGCGCAGGGCAGGCAGGGTGGCAAAGGCCTCACTGCCCAGTACATGGAGGGCATTGTGGGACAGCCGGAGCCACCTGAGGGCTTGCAGACCCTGGAAGACCATGTCTGGGAGGTAGACCAAGGCATTTGCCCTCAGGTCGAGGACAGTGAGGGACCCCAGATGGCCAAAAGCACCTGGCTGGATCTCCTCAATGCGGTTCCCCTCCAGGATGAGCTGCTGGAGGGAGAAGAGCCCATCCAGGGACTCCTGGTAGAGGAGGGCTATGCTGTTGGAGGCCAGGTTGAGGTAGATCAGCCTCCCCAGCCCCCGGAAAGCCCCTTCCTCCAGCTTTTCCACCTTGCAGCTCTGCAGGTCCAAGTGTGTGAGGTACGGGGTGGTGAGGAAGGCTCCCACTGGTATGACCATGAAGGTGTTGCCCTGAAGGTCCAGTTTTTTGGTGAGCTGTTGGTCACAAAAATAAAATGCTGAATTACCCCCAGGACGTAACTCCTCTTCCCCCATCCCCTGCCCATCCCTTTGCCCACCTGTGGGATGGTGCCGGGGACAGCCGTCAGGTTCCCATTGAGGCAGAGGACGTGGGTGTGGAGGTTGTCGCAGACGCAGGGTGCGGGGCAGCGGGCAGCAGCCGTCCCCCCCAGCACCAGGGCTGCTGTGAGCAGCAGGAAGGCCCAGGACAGCCTCATGGCAGAGAGCACCTGCGGCCGGGGAGAGGCGGCAATGAGGCCAGGAGAGGGGCCAGGCTCCCACGCATCCCCAAACAGCATCGTCTACCGGTACCAGGTGCCAGGGGGGCCATTGCTATGACTTAATGGGGCAGGGCTCACTGTCTCTTGCTCTTACACCATGATTTTACAGGTTATAAGTGAGGAAGAGAGTGGAAGGAGAAAAGGATTATTTAGAATGAAAACTGAAGGTCACAGACAGCAGGTCTCCACTTTTACCTGGGTTATCTAAACTCTCTGAGCGACATTTGGGAGGACCTACGAGTGGCTGGAACTTGTGGGGAACTGGCTTGGAGCAGACACGCACACACAACTTTTCTTTGGCTATCACTAGCATAAAATTGTCTTGATCTGTACAAAGTATCAATATTCCTCCTACAATCGAGGCTTGTTTTTTGGTAAGGCAAGCAGGTATAGCCACCGTGGGGATGTGATCACGCTGGTTTTCTGAGCCGACACCTTTTTTTAGTTGCAAATGTCCCATCTCTGCCACCCC